TTTCAATGCAGTCTTAATCGGCGGAGAATGCGAGTGTATTGAATGGTAATCGATGTCATTGGAATGTATATGTGTTGTCATAAAGTATACGCCACACATTCAACATTTCTGTACGCTCAGTATGAAATAGTATTTATTGTCTGAAGGTCGGGAAGGAGTTCTAAATATTCGCTGAAGGGAGTCGCTAATATTGGTGCGTATACGTGCTGTCATAAAGTATACGCCACACGTACAATATTTCTGTATGCTTAGTAGGAAATAGTGTTTATTGACTGAAGATCTGGGAGGAGTTTTAAATATGCATTGAAGGAAGTCTACCCCGATCTTTGATCCGAAGATGTAAATGAACACCCTTTAGCCTTTTAGATGTCGTGTTTAATTAACTTGTTGTTACAATTAGGTCTACTGCTGAGTTATGATGGCGTTCGCCATAGCTCACGAAGGAGCGATATTCAGGTCAGCTTCCCTTATCATCATCATAAATTGGCAAGGGTTGGAAGTGAATATTAAAAACCTATTGTTAGATTCACGGCTATTACACTAACATTGGGCCGTATACGTGTTGTCATAAAGTATACGCCACACATTCAGGATTTCTGTATATTCAGTAGAAAGGTAGAGAGTGTGTTTATGGACTGGAGATGTGGAAAGAGTTTTAAATATGCACTGAAGGGTTTCTATGTCGATTTGTAGTCCCTTAACAATTTCCTAGACTTTTATTATCCGTTGGTAAGCTTTTAACCCTTGCCATAATCAAACCTATGGGATGAACACATAATAATGAAAGTGGATCGTGCTGGGACCCAGCTAGTAGATCAAGATACGATATGATAATCTCAGGGTTCGCCATATTTTATATTGTAGTCTAATACGAGAAAAGATTGGAATCGCGCCTTAATACCTTCATTAGGATTAACACCTACAGAATCCCTACTGCTCCCGGTATTCTAAACAGATATACTTCTTACTGAACACCCTGATCACTAAATACATGGAACTCCCTCATTTGCGAATTCCTTTGTATTCCTACCTTTCCACAAATAAACTACTTGTTTATTAATTATTTCCTATTTGCTTTTTATGTCCTTTCAGAAAATACCAAAGAGGCTCTGCTCCCATTTGCCACATTTGAAAATTGTCGATTTGAGAGATAATAAAATCACCGAAATACCCAATGAAATTGGATTGCTACAAAATCTGACACGCTTCGATATATCGAATAATTCCATAACAAATTTACCCTATTCTCTGGCGTCGCTGGCCCATTTGGTTAGTCTACAGGTCGAGGGTAATCCAATCAAATCGATACGACGTGATATTTTGCAGTGCGGGACGGTGCGTATTTTGAAAACATTGCGTGAACGTCAGGAGGGTCTTGAGGCAGCAGCAAAAACCTCAAATTCATCATCATCGCTAACGGGCAGTATGGGTGCCGATGGCCTAAATAGTCCACGAAGGGGTCTAAGTTTTGAGGAGGAAAATTCCATATTTCCAGATAGGTAAGAAAATTTTCGTTGGAAAACCTGAGAAGGAGTATTATTTCTTTTGACTGCGGATGTACGAGTATAGTTCAAAAAATGAATATGCTCCTGAAGACTCCTCTCCAGAAATGAGATATTTTCCCTTGAGACAATCTCAAAAATAAGTTATAAAATCTTGAATTTTGAGTCAGAGCTTAGAATGCAAGAGCCGAAAATTGTTTATACTTTAATTGGCTCAGGGGTTAAATATCTCAGGGGTTAATTATTACTGCAATTTGGAGATGCAATTTCGACATAAACTTTAGTTAAAAAATTCGACTTTAAACCCACAGGCTTAAGAATTGTTATTAATATTAAATTTCTCTCATTCCCTACCTCTCTCTACATCTTTTTCCAGATACAAACTCCATAAGACTCGTTGTCTAACCGTTACCATGCAACAGCTGACAGAAGTGCCCCGCGAAGTTTTCGAAACCGCCAGCAATGAACAAGTGAATATTGTTGATTTATCCAAAAATCGTTTTACCACCCTGCCGGAGGGGTAAGTTCATATATAATTAGAACTTTTGAAAAACTTTTTTAAAAATTATACTTTATCTTCTCCACCCTATTTAGCTTATTGGAAATGAAAAATTGCTGTACCGAATTGGTATTTGCCAATAACCAGATCACCAGTGTGCCTTCATTTATATCACAATTTACCCGTCTGTCATTGGTTAATTTATCCTGCAATAGTCTACAAAATTTACCTGAAGAATTTGGTGTTTTGGTGACGCTGCGGGAGTTGAATATCTCGAATAATAGGTAAGACATAAAGATTCATTTATTTTTCATAGGGTTGTTCCTTCTTGTAGATTCTGACATCATCTTGTGTGTCGGTCGACGAGTATGATCTTTGTCACCCTGAAAATACTACACTTCGTATACTTAAATCAACATCCGCTCTAACTAATTAGGAGCGATATTCAGGGCACCTTCTCTCCCTTTCCACCATTAGCCTACTGATAGCTCAGTCGGTAGAGCATGAGACTGTATTAAATAATAATAGCTAATATTCGATCGTATACGTGTTGTCATAAAGTATTAGTAGGAAGAGCGAGAGTGTGTCTTTATGGACTGTAGAGCTGGAAGGAGTTTTAAATATACACTGAAGGGAATCTAGGACAATATGGGGTCCGAAGACGTATTTTCATTGGGCCTGTTTAATTAACCATTTGTTACATTTAAGCCTAATGCGTCGTTATGATAGGATTCGAAATATGTCATTAATGTAAGCTACTCGGATCAGATTCTAACATTTGCAAACATAGTCATAATTTACTTTTCCGGTAAAAATTCCGGTAATTGACCATTACCGCCGCCTCTACTGGGAAATTTCTTATTCGGCTATTCCAGTCCTCCCACCAACCAGCGGATCGGATTTCATGGTAAACTCTTTGTGGAGATGATTGGAAAAATCTCAAAAACCCTTTCCATATATGATTCAGGATAGTACAACGGTAAGACGTTATAAAGTTGTTGTTGTATTAGCTCTACAGTTCTCACACAATAGGCTGATGAGAAACTCAGACGGATCTGATGATTTGGTAGTCTGATCTGGTACTGTTATGGTGATGACGAGAAAATTCAAAAATTCCATCGCATTTTACCACATCTAAATTTTATAGAACCTAGCCTTTAGCTCGTCTATATGGATTGCATGGGGTTCGGCTTTAAATCGACTTCCTGCCCTTCAGCTGTTCTATATTGTCTTTTTGTACATCAGCTGGTCTATACTAGACTATATTCGTAGTCTTACTGGTCTACAACTTGACTACCTGGACCGCCTGACCTTCAGCTCCCCCCCCCCCCCTTCATCTCGCCTTTATAAAGACTGTCTGGCCTGTTCATCGTCTATATATACTCCCTGGCCTTTATCTCGTATATATAGACTCACTGGTATTCCTCTCTCACTGACCTTCATCTTGTCTAAATTTAACAGCTGGACTTCAGCTCGTCTATATACACTCACAGTATTTCGGCTCGTTTTTATGGACTCCCTGGACGTGTGGTCTGTAATTCGTCTATATATACAAATATTGGTCGCCTGGACTTCACCGTCAGCTCGTCTTACAGTCTATACTGCCTTCAGTATGTCCACATGGACTCTTTGGACTTCAGCTCTGTTCATCGTCTATATATACTCCCTGGCCTTTATCTCGTATATACACTTCTATATACACTCACAGTCTTTTAGCTCGTTTATATGGACTCCCTGGACTTGTGTATATATGGACCGTCTGCACTTCTTATATATAGACTTCATATTATCTATACGGATTCCCTGGACTTCAGCACTTCTTTTTAAATTTCTGGCCTTCAGTACATTATTTCCTCCCAGAATTTTATTTCTTTATTCCAATATTTTATTTTCAGATTCGAAGTCCTTCCAAAATGTGTTTACGAATTGAAAGGTTTGGAAATACTATTGGCTCGCGATAATCGTATCAAATCCATTGATGCCACCAGTGAAGGCTTGGGAGCCCTCAAACGTTTAACCATATTAGATTTGCGTAACAATGACATAGATCATGTGCCACCGATTTTGGGAAATTTAAAGAATATAACGTAAGTTTTTTTCCACTCAATATTTGTTGAATCAAGTCTAATCTCTTTTCTCCAAATTTGTTTGCAGAACCCTGGAAATTATCGGAAATCCATTTAAATTGCCACGCCATCAGACACTGGAACGGGGTACCGAGGCCATAATGTCCTATTTAAGTGATCGTATACCAGTTTAAAAACGTTCCAAAGACCAATACAATAACACACACCACATGAAGCGCAACAAAAACAAAACTAGCCACACACATAAAAAATAATCTGGCAGCACTATATGGCAAAGAGAGAGAAGGGGAAACAGAGCAGCTTATCATAGAATTTATTTATGTTTAAAAAATTTTAAAATAATGGATTATTTTTAAAAATACATATATATTTTTTGTTATAAACAAAGAAAGAAGTAAAAAAACAAAATCGATATGCCAAAAAAACTAGTCATTATCACCAATAAATCTGTGTGTTTAAAAAGTGAGGTTATGGCGAACAAATAAAAAGGTATTTTGATTTTATGGGGAATATGGTATGTGGATAATATTACCAATTACTTATAGACCAAAACATTAGGATAATGTTGCCCTACATATGCTAATAATATTATCATCGAGAAAAAATATCAGGATAATGCAGATCCCGACTTATTTAATATATTCCGCATATATTTTTTTTTTTTCTTATGGAAAATTGATTGCAATTGATTTCCTCTTAAATAAAACAAAATGCTGTATTTTGCACACATCAATAAATTTGAAAAAGGTGTATATATTTTGTATTTTAGGCTACACAATATATTTGTTGTTATAGTATTTTTTTGCTAGGATCAAGTGGTGTTCATAAGGATTTTTTTTTCATTTAATGAAAATATATATTTAATTTGTATACTTCTTTGTGATCTAATATAAGATTCAATTTAGGGGTTTTTTAATTCTGTTCCACAACTTCAGCCTTCAAACGTTTTGCCAACGTTTTTCTCAAAAGCAATGCCGAATCGGTTTCCACTTCTTCAGGTTTTTCCAAAACCGAATTTGGTTTGGAAACATTTTCCAAAAGCTTCTGGGCCACCTGAGCCGATGATGGCCGGGTACTCTTAGCTGCAGACGTTCCAGGAACTGATGTATTCAATGATTTTGCAACCGTTTCTTGTAGCTGCTTGGCCCGAGTTTTCTTCTTCAATTCGATAATTTTATCACGTTGCTCACGCAAGTACTCTTGACGTGTTATCATTTCATCGGGATTTACCTAGGCGGGGGAGAAGGAGACCATTATTTATTTTTTTAATTGTTATGAGTTTCTACATTACCTGCTGATTTTTCTCAAAGAATAAATTTAACCGCTCAAATTTCTCATTAACATCTTGTTCGGTGGCATCTGGCTCGGGTGTCACCGATGCTTCGGGGGTTTGCATTTCTTTGCCCACCGATTTGGCAATGAAATTTTCAACATCGTTGAATTTTTCACTGAAAATAAAAAGAGGAATAATAGTTATTAAACACGGATATGGATATAAAAATATTCGGATAATGAATTCAATTCTATGGACATATCCGTATACAATTTTCTATATGAAAACTTTATCCGGATAAAGTTTCCTATATAAAAACCTTATCCGGACAACGTTTTCTAGATGAAAATCCCACCCGGATAAAGTGTTCTATATGAAAATATTATTCTGATAAAGTTTTCTATATGAAACCCTCATCCGAATAAAGTTTTCTATATGAAAACGTTATCCGGATAACATTTTCTATAAGAAAAACCTTATTCGGATAAAGTTTTCTACAGGAAAACCTTATCCGGATAAAGTTTTATATATAAAAACCTTATCCAGATAAAGTTTCCTATATGAAAACCTTATCCGCATAAAGATCTCTGTATGAAAACCTTATCCGGATAAAGTTTTTTATATGAAAACCTTATCCGGATAAATTTTTTATATGGAAACCTTATCCGGATAAAGTTTTCTATATGAAAACCTTATCCGGATAACATTTTCTATACGAAAACCTTATCCGGATAACATTTTCTATACGAAAACCTTATCCGGATAACATTTTCTATACGAAAACCTTATCCGGATAACATTTTCTATACGAAAACCTTATCCGGATAACATTTTCTATACAAAAACCTTATCTGGATAACATTTACTATACGAAAACATTATCCGGATAACATTTTCTATACGAAAACATTATCCGGATAACATTTTCTATACGAAAACCTTATCCGGATAACATTTTCTATACGAAAACCTTATCCGGATAACATTTTCTATACGAAAACCTTATCCGGATAACATTTTCTATACGAAAACCTTATCCGGATAATATTTTCTATACGAAAACCTTATCCGGATAACATTTTTTATACGAAAACCTTATCTGGATAACATTTTCTATACGAAAACCTTATCCGTATAACATTTTCTACACGAAAACTTTATCCGGATAACATTTTCTATACGAAAACCTTATCCGGATAACATTTTCTATACAAAAACCTTATCCGGATAACATTTTTTATACGAAAACCTTATCCGGATAACATTTTCTATACGAAAACCTTATCCGGATAACATTTTCTATACGAAAACCTTATCCGGATAACATTTTCTATACGAAAACCTTATCCGGATAACATTTTCTATACGAAAACCTTATCCGGATAACATTTTCTATACGAAAACCTTATCCGGATAACATTTTCTATACGAAAACCTTATCCGGATAACATTTTCTATACGAAAACCTTATCCGGATAACATTTTCTATACGAAAACCTTATCCGGATAACATTTTCTATACGAAAACCTTATCCGGATAACATTTTCTATACGAAAACCTTATCCGGATAACATTTTCTATACGAAAACCTTATCCGGATAACATTTTCTATACGAAAACCTTATCCGGATAACATTTTCTATACGAAAACCTTATCCGGATAACATTTTCTATACGAAAACCTTATCCGGATAACATTTTCTATACGAAAACCTTATCCGGATAACATTTTCTATACGAAAACCTTATCCGGATAACATTTTCTATACGAAAACCTTATCCGGATAACATTTTCTATACGAAAACCTTATCCGGATAACATTTTCTATACGAAAACCTTATCCGGATAACATTTTCTATACGAAAACCTTATCCGGATAAAATTTTCTATACGAAAACCTTATCCGTATAACATTTTCTATACGAAAACCTTATCCGGATAACATTTTCTATATGAAAACCTTATCCGGATAACATTTTCTATATGAAAACCTTATCCGGATAACATTTTCTATATGAAAACCTTATCCGGATAACATTTTCTATACGAAAACCTTATCCGGATAACATTTTCTATATGAAAACCTTATCCGGATAACATTTTCTATACGAAAACCTTATCCGGATAACATTTTCTATATGAAAACCTTATCCGGATAACATTTTCTTTACGAAAACCTTATCCGGATAACATTTTCTATACGAAAACCTTATCCGGATAACATTTTCTATACGAAAACCTTATCCGGATAACATTTTCTATACGAAAACCTTATCCGGATAACATTTTCTATACGAAAACCTTATCCGGATAACATTTTCTATACGAAAACCTTATCCGGATAACATTTTCTATACGAAAACCTTATCCGGATAACATTTTCTATACGAAAACCTTATCCGGATAACATTTTCTATACGAAAACCTTATCCGGATAACATTTTCTATACGAAAACCTTATCCGGATAACATTTTCTATACGAAAACCTTATCCGGATAACATTTTCTATCCTTATCCGGATAACATTTTCTATACGAAAACCTTATCCGGATAACATTTTCTATACGAAAACCTTATCCGGATAACATTTTCTATACGAAAACCTTATCCGGATTACATTTTCTATACGAAAATCTTATCCGGATAACATTTTCTATAAACACCTTTCTATATGAACACCTTTCTTTTTATATGAAAACTTTATCCGGATAACGTTTTCGTACAGGTTTTTTAATTTAAGAACATTCACATTAGGGTTTCTATAGAAAAATTTTATCTCAATCTTACTTCTGTGACTGACGACCACTCTCGCTAGGACTATCGAAACTTTCACCCTGCTGAAACAAGGCCAATTGATTTTTCTCTATCAAATCCAATGCCTGCAGCTGTAATTCGACATTACGCTGAGTCATCATGCGTATGAAAATCTTTATGTCATTGGCAGCCCATATCTGAAAAATGCAAATGACAAATTGAAAATCGATTCTTCTTCCCATCAATTATATCCGCTCCACCCACCTGCTGAAATAAACCCTGATGAAATTGAAATGGATTATCCTTATGCTGTTGTCTACCCTCCAGACAGGCCATTTCAAATTGTTCTGGTGTTATTTGCATTTCTTCCATAAAACTGCCCAACATATAGTCGACCAGGTTTTTATAATCCTCATGGATACGCTTGACCTCGGGATTCTCTTCGTCCGGTTGTAAATTGGGATCGAAAACTGGCAAAAAGGAAAATTTTTTCTTACATGCAATTGAAATGGTTTATCTGGCAGGAACTTACTCAGCGATTTCTCTTCAATAAATGTCTGCAGCGGGGCATTCCAAACGGGTCCATGCAGAAAACACACCAACGAATCAAAAACCCAGGAATCATCACCAGCCATTGTGGATATTATTAATTTTTTCTTCTCTTCCTTTTTGTGATTCACTTGCTTCACTTTTGATTTAATGCGTAGTTCTCTTCTTATGGCTGTTGGACGTCTGACAATAGAATACCCCAACTGAAGTGGTTAGTCAGTCAGTCCTTTTTTGGTTCGGTTGCCATGGTTTCATGTGACAGGGTAATTTAAGTTGCCACTGCAAGTTGGTTCAGTGGTGGCACGCTAATTTGCCTCGTATATTCATTTAATAACAGAAATCCCTTTTCAGGGGTATGGGAATTCTGTCGAATTGCTTTAAATTCTAATTAAAAACTGGAAAGTAGTCTAATTTTTTCCTGGATGAAAAGTGGACGAGCTGACTCAGGGAGTCTTTGTATATGATCGGTAAAGAGAGAGAATACATAATTTCACCTCCATATCATACATATATATGAACAGACTGGGTATCTACATATATACAAGCTGAAGGTAAGGGAGTCTATTTAAATGAGCTGAAGGCCAGAAAGTCTGCATAGACGAGGTAAAGACCAGGGAATTTCCATAGAAGGGCTGAATAGCAGGGAATCTATATAGACAACCTCAAGGTCAGGGAGTCTCCATAGACGAGTTGGAAACCAGGGTCTATACAGACGAGCTGAATACCAATGAATCTATATAGATTAGCCAGGAAGAACACGAGGGGTTTACAGACGGGCTGTTAGCCAGGAAGTCTATATATACACATTTAAGGAGAGAGAGAGAGCTGAAGACCAATGTGCCTATACAGACGAGCTGAGGACTAAATTGTCTATATAGATGGGCTGAAGGCCAGTAAATCTATGTAGACGTATTGAAAACCAGGGAGTCTATATAGAAGGCCAGGGTGTATATATAGAAGAGAGAGCCAGAGATTCTATATAGACGTCCTGAAGACCAGGTAGTAAATATAGACGAGACAAGTATATTCTAGACTGGATGAAGGGCAGGGAGAATATTCTATACGAGCTGAAGACCAGGGAGTCTTTAAAACGAGCTAAGGGTCATTATTAATTATTAGGAAAATGAGATACGATTATTCTTTCAGAAACTAAATTGGACACCTGCAAGATCTCCTCAATTTCTTCATTATCTCCCAAAAATAACTTGAAAAAATACTATCGCGGTGCTTCTAAAGCTGTCTTAAGCATCATCTTGAACCAGGGCCTTTTTGGGCGGTCAAAACGTACAGTTCTTGGCACCCATGACTTCTTGTTATTTCTGCACATCTAGAAAATATGTTTTTGGGGGAAAAGTGAAGTGGAAAAGTGCCTTGACAATTGCTTTGCACGCATGCTCACGAAAGCTATTTTTGAGATCTTGATTCGTTCACAAATCGTAGCACCAGGTGTGATAAATAACGTAACCTGATTTGGTTCAGACCACCTCCTGTTTTCGTTAATAGAAACCGGAACCATTGAAAATCTGATTTCAGAGAATTATTCATACACTCAGTTCCTCGGTGAGCTAAGAGGAATTTCCCGAAAATCGACACTACAATTGTCGATCTTCGAATATAGCTGCTGGAGAGTGAGTGAGTGCCGAGGAGGTACCACCACTATTTACAAAGTTATATGTTGCAGATCTTATCAAAAATGGTAAATCCTTCTAAAGGGTTGGACCTGGAATAACCATTACTGTGGTCGATGCAGTGTATGCGAAAATACTCCTGTCATATCCTTATGGACATGCTTCCCCACGTTGGCACGTCAGGAGAGATCCAAAGTACAAACGTGAACCTCTAGATTAACAGGCCTATCAGCTACGTCGGAGCTTTTAATTCAGATGCAGTCGCTCAGGTAGTAGAACCATAGACTAAAAATGCCATAATCGAAGACCATCCTTTAGAAGATGGTCCTTATCGGTCTAATCCTTTCAATTTTGATTTTTTTTATATAAAGAGAACAGAACAGAATGCTTGTTCCATAAGTCGAGCTTAAAAATATTTTCAGGCGTGTCGGTCTTGTGCGCAGTTCTTCCAATTTGAAAGACCACGTTCCGAAATGTTGTCTTCCACTTGTTCTTTCCAGTTGAGGTACCTCATCCATTCTCACAACATCACGTAGCCAGCTTAGTCGCTGCAGCTCAATACGTCTGACTTTGTCGATGTCCGAGACAAAGTCAGAGTGTTTTCAAACACTCAAAGAGTGTTTTCAAACACTCAAAGAGCTGTCTCATCTGCTAGCGCAAATACACATGCTTCGTTTACCACCTCGAAGTTCCACAGTTGGTCCGAGTCTACTGGACTTGGTCTTCTCGCCATTTACTACCAGTCCCACTTTGGCAGACTCCTTCTCAATTTGTTCGCTCGCAATGTTCGACCGATTATGTCGATGTCGTCGGCGTAGGCGAGTAACATATGATGTTTAGTGTACAGAGTGCTATTTCTGTTCACATTTCCATCACGTATGACCTTTTCCAGTCTAATTCCTAGTTCGGTATTCGGGCTCCGAGAGGTCCTTTCGACTTTAACTGCTGACCTTGTGCCACTTAAAGTTATCCTGCATAGCCGTATTGATTTTGCAGGAACGCCGAACGCAGACATGGCTTTAAACACCTCAGAACGAATAGAACTATTGTCTGTCTGGCCAGCTGGGAAGGGAGTAACCGTTTATTTTGTAGTTGTTTTTTTGTAACTTTTTTTGTAAGACAAATCCTTCCACTGGAATGTCCTAATCCAAAAATTCCAACGGCATTCAAAAGAGTATATGTATATATGTGTCCAAACCAATTTAGAAAATAAGCTAGATCTTGACCGATTGCATCCAAGCTCATACGATAGCTATTCATGTACAGAATTACGTGTGAAAATTTGGAAGTTAACGTTTGAGAAGCACTGTCACTTGATGCTAAAAGAATAAATAGGCAATATCTTCAAGATTTGTTGAAATTTTAAAGGTACATTCTGAAATTTGTGTATTTTCGAATTAAATAAAAAAAAATCATTGCAACTCCGATCATGTAGCTCATCTCGAAAGAGAAATTAATAAAAAAAACATTTACATGAATGATCCTTCGCCTAAAAAGGCATAAAAACAAAACTCAAAAATTCAGCTTGAGCCCGGCTGGGATTTGAACCCTGGTTCCCATGGCATCTGTTGATGTCCGGCGCCTTAGCGTTCAAAGCCACCTCCTTATCTTCCTAAGGTTGCACAATATGCAGTTGCATACCATTGAAGAAAAATATTGTAGTCTGTATGGAAAAAAAGTCCGTCACTACAAGAAAAATCTGCTCTGAAAAGGAATGTTCTGGTGTGATGCCAAATGTCCGAACCTTGACAAGGTTGAATTTAATTCGTAGATGCAATTTCACAACAATAGTCGACATAAATACAACATATCAAGTAAAGACATTTGTAAGCCACATTGCCCAATATGCCTGATGAGCCGCCTAATCAACGGCGAAACGCGTCGCATAGTGGTGGGAATGTAGTATCTCTCTGGCTTTCCTTTTCATTGCAACTCCGATCATGTAGCTCATCTCGAAAGAGAAATTAAAAAAAAAAAAACATTTCATTTTTTTGAAATCGAGATTGGGTAGTCCCCTTAAGTAAATCTATATATCCATACTTAACTCTCTCATCTACTTAAGAAATCCACCTTCCGATTTGTATGCTGTAATTTGCCATTTCATGTTATGGATGAATTGAAAACCTGAACAACTTAATATTCTAGTAAAAATATACACATGTAAACCTATTTTTTATTTATATTTTATTTAATACTTTTTTATCTCTTTTTATTTATTTCTCTTTAATTCTGTTTTTTTATTTGTTTTGTTTATTATATCAAATCGTACATATTTATATGTATAAGAAGTGCTTACATACAAAAATTAAAGTATTTTATTAAAACAAAAAATATTCTACCGTTTCCTTTTATATATAGAATAGTCATAAGAGAGAATTAAATAAAGAAACCATTTTTTGCAAAAAAAAAAAATATATATATATATATTATAGAGTGCACAAAGTCAAGGCAAGCATCGGGCATTTTACTTTGCATTAAATCACTAACATATCCTAATCAATTTGAAATTCTTACCACTGGCCACTGTTCAACAACTCAAATCTCGATATGCAGAAGGCCACCTGGCTTTCTCCCGATCCAACAACGAGAAATCAAATTGATCATGTTGTGATAGACGGAAGGCATACATACTGTGTTTTTAGCACGAGCAAATCGATATGTACAGGATTCAGAATAAAGTCCGGACATTTTAGCAACGAGCAAAACCCTAAACTGAAGGCTATGATAGGATGTGCCTGCACCATAGCCTTCAGTTTAGGGCTGGTTGATCTGCAGGTTCACGTTTGTCCTGACTTGCCAAAGTGGGGAAGCATGTCCATAAGGATATGACAGGAGTATTTTCGCATACACTGCATCGACAACAGTAATGGTTATTCCAGGTCCATGGTATAATAATAGAAGGTAACAGCAAGTGTTGTTGTACAAAAAACGATACAACAACCACATGAAAATTTGTTGTTGTAAGTTCTACTAGTGTCAACTCATTTGACAGAAAAATGTAAACAAACAAACAAATTACCATCAAATTATTTTTATTTTGAAAATGAAATATTTTCGAATCCTCAAAATAAAAATTGAAAAACATGAATGAAAATGTATCAAATTTATATTTCTATCGCTTCCACATCTTTCCTATAATTGAGCCATTGCCATATATATGTGTAACACATATGAAAATGCTGGGAATAGCGAGTTATTCCTTGAAGAAAGATTTGCTTCCTCAAACTTTCCCAGCAGGCAGATTGAGTAAATTGAATACAAGAGCACATTTAATAAAGAACAATTTCAAATTGTATGCGATCCCAATTTTCCTGTTGGGTGATTTTTAAAACATAAATAATTTGTCAAATTCATATTGACACTAGAATTACGTTGGAATCAAATCAGCTGGGATTTGCTGTTACCTTTTATAATTGTACCCTGTTCCAGGTCCAACCCTTTAGAAGGATTTACCATTT